CTTGGCCACTTTAAGATGAGTGGACTTCAACTCCCAGAATCCCCCAGCCAGCAAAAGGATCTGAACAACAACAAAGAGTGGTGAGGGAACCTGGTAGCAGCATGGCTGGCTGGGGAATTCTGGGAGTTGAAGTCCACTCATCTTAAAGTGGCCAAGTTTGGACAACACTGCTCTAGTGGGATCCCACACAGAGGACTTGGCCCATCAAAAAGGTTTCAGTGGCAGAGGACAGAGAGTTTGACCATCTCACGAGAACATTTTGAAATGTGTGCTGCGTGCAAACTTCTATGAAAGAACAGCAATTTAGCCCATCTCTCTGCCAAAGCCAGGAAACTCTGTTCTTGTTTAGACATTTCTGCTGAACTAGAAGCAACCAGAGGATGAACAATTGAGTTGGAAGACCTGGTAGGTTTTTGCAAAGCTCTTCGCAATTAATTATCTTCCGTCATACCTCATGACTAACCACATCGTTTCGCCAAGTAGAACACAACTCTCAAGTACGGTGATGTTTTGTTCACAGCTGGAAACGGGGCCAACCCCACCCTCCAAGCATTTGGTAATTAGCAAATTTTGAATGGCCTAACCTCTGTCAACTGGAACACAATTCATCAGCTGCAAGAGCTGTTTTTCTGCGCTGACAACTATTTTCTAGATGGATTCAGAGAAAAGAGGAAGGAATGGCTTCAGGATGTCCAGTTCAGCCTCAGAAGAAAAGATGGCTTCCTGAACCTCTGGAGAGCTAATACCATATACTACTAAGCTGGGTAACAGCTACTACCAGGTTCCCTCACCACTCTTTGTTGTTGTTCAGATCCTTTTAATTAAAGAGAAATAAGTGGGGAGCTGCCGGGATGCAAAGCAAAACACCAGCTTCTGCCCCCTCCGTGGTATTTCCAAAAATGGGCCCCAGAAGAATTCTGAGAAAGTCGATCTTCTCTCAGAACTCCAGTTGACCCCCTCACAAATTTGCCCCTCATTACACCGTCCATCTTCAGGCACGTGGACCAAATCTAAGGCCCACACAGTTCCAGTTACAACAGCTGTTGGTTTAGTTGCCAACCAAGAAAACTGGAGGGCAGCTAGCTGGGAAAGGCAGGGCTGGGTGGTGCCCACAGTCCGGAGAACAGCACACAGGGAGAAGAGTAGCCTGACCTCTAAAATGTAATAACAAGACATAAATAAAAGCAGGAGCATGCCAGTTTATTTATTTGGTTATTTTTTCTGTTTCTGAAGTTTTTATCTTAGTGGCTGGGCAGAAAATCTCAGAAAAGTGCTCCTGGGTTCACTTCTGATGATATGTCCCATCCTAGGGGAAATCAGATGACACTTTGTGAAATCCATCTCACCGTTTTCTGGATCCCGGGAAGTTTAGGGAAGGGGTGGAAGGGGCAGCTGGGAGCGGGCATCCTGAAAACAGCGCAGACTCGCTGGCAGCGTTGGACAGCAGGACGGGCCCGGGGTGGGAAGCTCCGCTGGTGCAGAACACAAAACAGGCCATTTTCAGTGCCCCGGAGAACAAACCAACCGCTCTTTCGTCAATGGCAGGATCCGGTTTTTATTGGGGGAGGGGGGTGCCCTTTAAAATAGAAGACCAGCCTGTAAAGACATCCCAGGCAGCGACGGATTGGAAGTCCCCACAGGAGCCAAATCATTGTTGCTTGAGGCTGGGCTGGGTTTTCTCACAGAGCCTCAACTGACCCAAGTCCTCGGAAGGATCCCCAATGGCTGTGCCCTCTCAGTAAACTCCTGAGCCTCCAGTGAGACTCCCCGGTTGCATTTCTTGATCCCACCCCCTTCTACAGCACCCGTCCTTGCAAGACAAGAAGGGTGTGAGCCAAAAGGGCACTGGAGAGAGTAAGATGACCTTGATGGAGAGTTGCAGGAAGCATTGCCTAGGCAAAGGGGGCTAAACCGTTTTTTGAATTCAGAACATCTGGATAACATTTGGAAGTGGCTCAGATGGACAGCTCCCTAATTCACTGGACTGTAAGGAGGAGAAGGAGGAGGTGCAGCACAATCAGACTTGCAAGACTGTTATTCTAGCCAATTTCATTAAAGGTAGTTTTAGCCTTCCTGTGGAGTTGATTCAAATCTGGTCTACTTAGTGGGGCTGACAGGCACATTGGGGTCGCCATGTAACTCATTCCATGGCTTTGGATCTTGCTTGCAATCAAGGAAAAAATAACTTTTTCTGTCTAATTTTGCTCAGGCAGCTCAGATGTCTGTCCGCTCAGCAGCCATCTCAAGAGCTTTTGAGGGCTGGTGGCAACTAAGGGCACTTCCATGCAGGAACTTCGCACTGCTCTAGAATCAGCTCCAGACCTGCATTGTCCCATCACTGTCAGTATTGAACAGCTGAGTTTGTCCACTGTTTTCCAGCTTCAGTTCAGCATATTTGAAATCGGTCTAAAGGCAAACTTGCCACTGGAAATGCTGAATCTCTGCAGAGCTTTTGAGCAACAGCAAAACCAAAAGGAAAAAAAAATCTTTTTCTTCTGTATGGAGTAGAAATTGGATCTTTTTCCAGTTCTAGAGACCTGCAGAGCACCATGTGAATCCAGCTGGGTTTTGCAGTCTCTCCTGGTCAGCTGGAGGGAGAATTTTGGACTTCTCAGCCTTCCAAGGTCAATGCTTGAGAGACACTAGGCGATAGCAAAAATGGTACAGAGGCAGAAACGCCAGACATAATGTTGGATAAGCTCATTTTGCTTCTGTGGCTATTGGGCTAGAGTGATATGGCTGGAGGTTCCTGGCTCATCCCAAAAGAGGATAACATCTACCTTTCTGTGTCTGATGGGGGCACCACTAGACCACCTGCTTTGTGTTGCAGGGGGCAGCCGCCGATCAATCTGCCTTCCCTGTTTTGTGTAGCAAACTTGGCCTCATTCAAAGGAAACTGAATCGGCCCAAGTTTGTGGCTTTCTATCACTTGATGGAGAGGCCGACCCAAAGCAGAATTTGTGCTCAGAGAAACCCCTGGAGGCGTCCAAAGAATTTCCCATGCTCTCTGCCTTGGGTAAGAATTAAGCTAGCCAGGAATCCTGGGAGCTGTAGTCCGGAGTACCAGGATGGCAGCAGAGAAGGTGGAAGTCCCAGGAAGTCCCACATCCCAGGAGGGCACCAGGGCAAGGTGCTATTATTTCAACAGGCTGGGCACAAAGTCACCCAGGTTGGTTTAGAGCAGTGTTTCTCAACCTTGGCAACTTTAAGATGTGCGCATGCTGGCTGGGGAATTCTGGGAGTTGAAGTCCTCACATCTTAAAGCTGCCAAGGTTGAGAAACGCTGGTTTAGAGAGTCGAGATGTTTTTTCCAGCTGCTATTTGTGGCTCTGGAAGCCAGTTTGGACCGAAATAGCTCTTTCCACCGTGTTCCCTTCCTAGAGGGGGCCAGTGTAAATTCCATGCATTTTAGCATTCCTCCCCAGCTGGGCTTTGGGATAATGCCAGCACCCCCTCCCCACCAATCCTCCCTAGGAAATGGGGCTTGGAGACGCTGCCCCCGAACTGTGTTCTCCAAGTGAGCCTGCCCCGTGCTGAGCTCCTCCAGGCGCAACGTCCTGACTTTGGCCAGGGAGGGGGGAATCCCCCCAGCCCCCCA